GATCACACTACACTGTATCAAATCATCATCAATAATAATAATAATAATAATAATAATAATAATAATAATAATAATAATAATAGTTACATATTTTTATTGCTCAAATTAACATATGGATATGATCAAATGCGCATCACAACACTTTACGGGGGATTTTGGGCGGACTGCATCAGCAGTTTACAAACAATCGAAGGAAACTTATTTCAATATGCCCCCTTCCCCCCAATTCCCAGTAAACAGGCCGGACCACATCACAGTGATATCATGTGTGTGTTCTTTAACGTCCCCTGCCTAACCCAATTGACTAATTAATTGATGCAGGAGACGGGACGTACGGTTTATTCGCCTTTATCCGAGAAGACTACAATGTCTATCCATTTCTTGATATTATAGAAAGGTAGCGCATTCTCCTCAGTTATTTTAAGACCTTGAGTGTTGGTCCGGCCGGGTCTCGAACCATCGACCTCGACCTCCCGCGCAACAGTCCATCACTCTAACCAATTGAGCTAACCTGGAGGCGGTTAAAAATGTGGATGCGCAGTTGAAGAAGTCGAGAAGCCGTCACCATAAAAATCTGGAGTAAGATGCGATGGCATGATCGTGGGCATCATGTAGTCACTGTGGCTGTTAAGTACTGCAATCGCATGTGACAACAAGTGCATTAAACCCCTTTTAGGGTGGTGGTGATCATGCCATTACCACATCTCAGAGATTGCTTACTACAAATGATTTGAATTGGAAATTATAGGTCAAAACAGAAGGTGTTACGTTTTTGGTGCTGCTGTTGGGGTTTTTTATTTTTAGTCTTAGCATCATCCTATGGTGTGGAAGTTGTCTCTGTTAAGGCTATTTTCTCACGAAAGTGGTCTCTTTCCCTATGAACTCCATCACTAAAACATGTGTATTATTCACGTGGTAGAGAAGCTGATGCGATCGATATCTAAAAGGATCGATGTGATGAATAGGATATTTTTAAGAAATGGAAGGTATAATATGTTTACTTGGAAAAAATAGTATATTGAGAAAAACAGTAGCAAACAGGTCAAAAGTGTAAATTAGAAAATGACCTAAACATCGAAGATATGAATCAGATGCTGAAAATCTATCGATTGTAGTTCAATTTTGTATAAGAACTGTTTTCGTAAAGGAAGATTTTGTGAGCGAAAAATATGAGCCCAGAAAAACCAGTACATGCACAACTGTTGTTGGGCAAATGTTCTATAATTCTCGTTTTTTTTCAGTCTCCACGAAACCCAAACCAGTTATTTCCTATGGATTTGGTCCAGACTTATTCATAATTATTAGTTATCATAATGATAACGCACATCTTATAAGCAGTGAAAATAGAATGAAGAAAAAAAAGTTACCCATCTCAATAAGACGTTAATAAACAACATTTTCCTTTATTTGTCAAACTCAGGTTACTAGAGATAAATCTTTCAGAAAAGCGATAGTGAAGAATTCACACTCGCGTAAAGGCCACCCTATGTCTCATGATAGATACGTTATGGGTGAAAGAATATTTGCATAAGGCGTAAGGTGAGCTGAAAGAGGAATTGGCCAGCGCCGCTGAAGGAGAGGAGGTTGGGAAAATTTGCAGAAACCGTCAGAGATGTCAGAGCATTGTTATGGCGTCAGTCAGAGATGTTGCAGGCAACGGCCATAAAAGGTCTTGATAATTTCCCTGGGGACTTTTACGGCCAATAGCGTTTCTGCTACGAGTGTATATAGTTATCCGATTACTAATTCGACATGCGGCGGCTTTTACGCGAGTGAGAATAAAGTGATTAGCTCAATGGATAGGGCGCTGGACTGTTGTGCGGGAGGTCGAGGGTTCGAGCCGCCTGCCGGACCAACACTCAGGGTCTTAAAATAATTGAGAAGAGTTTGCTACCTTTTCATAACATCAAGAAATGGTTAGATATTCTAGTCTTTTCGGATAGGGACGAATAAATGGAGGTCCCGTCTCCTTCAGGGTTGGGATTGAAGACGTTAATTTCCCACACGCGAGATTACTGTATGATGGATGTCCTCCCTTGGGGTGGGATGGGTGGGAGGGTGGACTAGGACGAATAGTTCGTATGTTCCTTTCTAGTCCTTCCCCACTGCAAAAATTAATGCAGTGAAAATGGAGTAAAT